CCCCTGTCGGATAGGACCCCCCCCGGGCACGCCCGACTCGCAGGGAAGGAAGGCGACTTCTTGCCCGCGGCCGTCGAGCAGCACCCGAGGCATGGCAAAACTGCTCTCTTCGGGGGTATGCTCGGGGGGCCCCCTTCGGCGCTGACCCTCGGCGTCGTAGACGTGATCCTTCCGTCGCTGCGCTTCGGCTCGAAGCGCAACGACGGAAGGACCACACCTGGCGCAAATCTGGCCCAGGAGAGGCTTACAGTCGGGGCGTTGACCTAAGGAACCCAAAATAAGGAACGGGGCCCCTTTCTTCCATAAGTTAAACTTTGATTTCCCATCCAAAACCGAAGGACAACCTACGGCAAGCTGCGAAACAATTAAGGAACACGGAGCCCCTCCCCAACGAGAAGGGTTCCTTGTTCAGCGCCCCGACTGTATACTCACTCGACGAACGAGTATAAGGGAGTGGGCCTCGGCAGCGGCGGCCACCCTACGCCACTCGCGGGACGACGTCAAGCGGCCCCACGAGCTGAGCTTTCTACACCCGCCGTGGTTTTAGATATGGTGAGGCCTCCCCCTCCTCCTCCTCCTCCTCCTCCTCCTCCTCCTCCTCCTCCTCCTCCTCATGCTCCATCATGCTCCATCTGCTCATCATCATCATCATCATCATCATCATCATCATCATCATCATCATCATCATCATCATCATCATCATCATCATCATCATCATCATCATCATCGTCATCGTCATCGTCATCGTCATCGTCATCGTCATCGTCATCATCGTCGTCATCGTCGTCATCGTCGTCATCATCATCATCATCCTCTCTGCCACGGACCATCGGACCCTGCTGCGAGCCTGATTGTCGGGTCGGGCGAGGCTGCGGCAAGGCTCTGACCAGGACCTGTGGAGCTGCATCCGCGTGGCCTTGGGTCAAGTCTTTTTGTTTACAGCACCCTCCCCGCCCCAGTCAGATTCCACCGCCTGGGGCCACGTCCAGTGCACATACAATATGCACCAATATGCCCCAGGTAGGATTTTGCATGCCAGACCCACGAGAGCAAGACCCTCGCCCACCCCCCAGGGCTTTCTGGGTGCAGTACATGAACACCTGGGGCCGCTTGGGCTCTCGGCCCCAGGAAGACGCTCTGAGATCAAGCGGATCCCGTCTCGCACTGAAAGAGGGCTCTCACCAGGGCGAGTTGACGAGGGAGCGGGGACGGCGGCGGGCGAGGGGGCTGCGGGGTGTCTGGTCGAGTCTCGGGTCGGGCGAAAGGGGGGAATAGCAAAGGGGGGGTTTGAGAATCAACTCGCGTAGCCGGCCATGTATCGAGGAATGGGCCCCTCGGTGAGGCCGAAACCAGCTGCATGCAGCAAATTTCGTACCCCCCCCTTTCCCAATCTAGGGGAACAACAAGTGACAGAAACCTAAAAACTCGGAGGTCCGCGCGGATTTCTCGGATCGGCGCTGGACCCCCCTCCCTGGCGCGCGAGCGCGCCAGGGGCGGCGCCGGAGGCGCCGCCGGGGGGCCCCAGCGCCGATGCGAGAAATCCGCGCGGACCTCCGAATTTTTATGTTTACATGTATGTCACTTTTTGTTCCCCTACAATCCCCCTCTTTCGTCCGGCCCGACAGTCTGTGGACGCCGACCGACGGGATGCCGTCGGAGTGCTCGTCGGAGCACGTGGCGGCGGCGTGCCTCTGGAGCTCGCCCTCCTCCTCCCTCCTCCTCCTCCTCCTCCCTCCTCGCCCTCCTCGTCCTCCTCCTCCCTCCTCGTCGTCCTCCTCCTCCTCCTCCCTCCTCCCGCTCCTCCCTCCTCCTCCTCCCTCCGTCCTCCTCCCCTTCCTCCTCCTCCTCCTCCTCCTCCTCCTCCTCCTCCTCCTCCTCCTCCTCCTCCTCCTCCTCCTCCTCCTCCTCCCTGCCTCTGGAGCTCGCCGTGCTCACCAGCCCCCCTGCGAGCGGGAAAAGGCGGCTGCCCGAGGGCGGGCGGCCTCCGCCCTCTCCGCCCGCGCGCGGAGCGCCCCCGCGGCCCGCGCACAGCTTCGCGCAGGCCGGCGCCGAGTTTTTGCTCGTTCCCCTCGGGCCTGGGTCCTCCTCCTCCTCCTCCTCCTCCTCCTCCTCCTCCTCCTTCTCCTCCTCCTCCTCCTCCTCCTCCTGCTCCCCCTCCTCCTTTGAGTGGAGAGGAGAGGAGAGGAGAGAGGGGACAGAGATAGAGAGGAGATATGGAGGCAGGAGATCCCCTCCTGGTTCCGCGAGGTCTGCCATCTGGGCCTGCAGCTGTCGCTGCTGTCGGAGGGCTGCGGCTCGCAGGCCGGAGGGGGTCTAAGTAGGCCCCACAGGGTTTGTGCACTTCGGGCCTGCGGTTTTCTGTTCATATGCAGGTCGGCTCGTGTGGTGTTCCCTGTCTGCCAAACGTTTTTTATCGTTTTTTTGTTTCGCGATGTGGTCGTGTCATCCGTGGGATGCGAGCGGTGTTCTTTCCTTGTGCCTGCGCCCAGTATTCTGTCTGCGGCAGCGACCCAGAGCTTTGGCCTCCGTCCTGGTCGTGGGATCGGCTCTGGGGGTGAAGGAAAGGTTGTGGCTGGCAGGTTCGCGCACGGCTCCCACACTAGCCAGGTCTGGGATCGATGCTGCCTTGCTTGCTTGTTCGGGCTGCAGCAGACATGCTACCCTGGAGCGCAGGCATCTCGAGGCACAGTGCGAGCCAACTCGCAAAGGCAGAAAGAATCCAGCTCGTATCGGGGGCGCGCAAACATGGATTAGCGATCCCTGGATCTGGCGCGCGGTCGCCAGATTCATGGATCGTGGGAGGTGCCCCCCCCGAAATGCGGCCGGTGGCGCCTCGTTCAGCGGCGGCAGTCAGCGATTTCCTATGGAGACGGGACCCGTCGCTGATCCACGCCCCCTTACCCATCGGTCGGAAGAAGTAGGTAGAAACATGAAGTAGGACGGCGTTGGAAATAGATTGAGTTTCCGCCTGCCTCCTGAAGAGGAGGGAAGAGGGAACACCACTCGACTCTTGAAGCAGGAAGGCGCTGAATGTAGATTGGAATCTAGGAATCCCAAAATATCTACTTTCAACGGGCTTTGGGGAGTCCGTGTTTGCGATCGCCCGCTCGTCTCAGGAACGGTCTCTGCCCGAGGAGGGCATTTGTGTCTGGCTCAGTTGCAGCCCGTGTGGGTCCACCGTGGTCTCTCGGGCGAGCCCTCTCTCTCTCTCTCTCTCTCTCTTCGCTGCACACACACACACACACCTCGTGCTCAGCCAAACATTTCCTCCTCCCCCATTCCGCCCCCTCCTCCTCCTTCCTTCCTTCCTCCCTCCCTCCCTCCCTCCTCGCCGCCCGCCCCTCCCTCTGTTCCTCCTTTGCTCGTTTTCCGTCTTCTTACTCCTCCCTCCTCCTCCTCCTCCTCCTCCTCCTCCTCCTCCTCCTCCTCCTCCTCACATGCCGCCGCATCCTTCTCCTCTGCCTTCCTCGAAACTATCATCATACTCCTTCCCTCCCTCTCTATCTCCCTCCTCCTTTCTCGCTCTTCTCTCTTCCATCCTCTCTCCTTCCCCTCCTCCTTCCCTCCTTCTCCATCTCCCTCCTCCTTTCTCGCTCCTCCCTCTCCCATCCTCTCCCGACGCTTCCCTACCCCCAATCCTGGTCCACTTCCTTATGCTCTTTTCTCCTCCGTTTCCTCCTCGTCCTTCTCGGCCCCTTTAACTTCATAGCGACTCTTCTACGCCGCAGGAGCAGACGTGCCAGTAAGACAATCCGTGCTTTTCGCATGAAGCTTCCTGGCAACGTATGACCATAGAGCTTGCAGTTACCAACGTCAGCATCGAAAGATGGCGGGTCGTTTTCAACATCTGGGTAGATCCTTTTGCATTCGTTTGGAACGTGCCCAAACACTATAGTGATGAGAAGCACACATGGTATCCCAAATCTGGCTCTCGCCACAGGGCCGCGCACCTTCGCCCCCAAAACATCCGCCAGGCACGACGCAAGTCAAGGGGCAACCCTCGACCTGTGCACCCCTCCGCTCAAGAAACCGAGGTGTTCCAGATGTCTCAAACTTGGAAGAACGGAGGGCGGCTCCGATCAATCCAAGCCCTAAACTCGAGTATGCGTCGCTGTCGGGATGCCCCAGACGCATACGAGCCTTGGTCGGAACGTTCAGTGGAGCGCCTGAAGGATCTACGGAAAGGGAGAGGTTAAGCTCGACCGCCCACACGCCACGCCTCAGGCTGGCTACGCCACAGGCTACCTGCGTAGCAGGAAAGAAGAACCCGAAAGCCGGAACCCAACGCCAGCGGGACCGCAAGATCCCGCAGGAACCTAGGAAAACCTGGAAAACGCTGCCAGGGGCTCTCCAGGCGCTCCCAGCGCGCCTGGGCGCGCTCCCAGGCGCCCCCCAGGCGCTCCCACGCGTCCCAGAGGCTCCCCAAGCGCTCCCAGGGGGTCCCCAGCGCGGGAACCTCGCGCGCGCGCGAGCCGCGGAGCGTCCGGCGAACTGGTCTCCGTTGTCGTGGCGCAACATGATCCCCTTCTGAGATTGAAGCATATGCGTAATTTTACCCCAATCGCGATATGCGCTCGCCAGCGCGACTGCGCACCGAAAAGGAGCGCGCAGGCGCGGTTCTGGCGTCGCCAACGTAATTCAGCGATAAGGAATACACTCGACGGCCGGATAACCGGCCGGCGGGCCGGCTGACGCACGAAACGCGCTGCAAGGTGCGTCGCATCGAGGGGGCGCCAGGCCCGCCCCCTCAAGCTCCCCCTCCCACCATCCGAGACAAAGCGCTGCGCGTGCGCCACCGCGCAGAATCGCTCCTGCGAGAATCGGAAAAGGTCGCCCGGTCGGGCGCCCCCCAACGCGCGAACGAACCCCGGAGACTCTAGGACGACGTGGTGTCAGCGCGGGAACCTCGCGCGCGCGCGAGCCGCGGAGCGTCCGGCGAGCTGGTCCCCTTTGTCGTGGCCCACCATGATCGCTTCTGAGATTGAGGCATCTGCGTAAGTTTACTTCAATCGCCATATGCGCTCGCCAGCGCGCCTGGCCATCGAAAAAGAGCGCGCAGGCGCGGTTCTGGCGTCGCCAGCGTAACATGGGCCACAAGGTACGACACCTCGTTGGCCGGCAAACCGCTGCGCGTGCGCCACCGCGCAGAACCGCCCCTGCGAGAGTCGGAAGAGATCGCCCGGTCGGGCGTTCCCCAACGCGCGAACTAAACCTGGAAGCTGTTCCCCAATGCGTTACAGCGCCTGCGCGTTCTCAGGTAGGACGACGTGGTGTTCGACACCCCCATGAGTGGGGGCTGGGGGGAAGGAAGAACTCTCTGTGTCCCTAAACCCTAAAAGAGAATAGCCGGGGTGGATTGGGGCGGGAGGACAAGCAACGCGAGCGCGCACGCAGCATCCCACCCCCAACAATCTTGATGTGGGGGTGGGATGCGTGCGCGCGCCCACACCGCTTGGCGGGCAACACCCTAAACCCTAAACCCTAAACCCTAAACTGCAAGCCACGGGCGGTGCAACGTCCGTAGCCCGTGGCGTCTGGCCGAGCGCTCAGCGAGCCTGCCCTTTCCACGTTCGTGGCACCGACGAAGCGCGCAGCGCTGAGGAGGCATTCGCTCGCCGCGCGCATGCGGCCGCCGCTTGTTCGCTAAATGAAAAAGAACCCTTAACATAACCCCCAGCCAGTGGGTTCGCCACGGTCGGTGCCATCCCCTGGGGCTCCAAACCTATGAAAATACAGCATGTGGCGCCCTTTGGGCCGTCCGTGGGGCCTCAAACCATATGAAAATACAGCATGCGGCGCCCTTTCGGCTGGCGCACGTCCCAAGCACTCCCGAGCGCTTCCTGGCGCTCCAGGGCGCTCCCAAGCGCTCCCAAGCGCTGCCAGACGCTCCCAGGCGCTCGCTGGCGCTCCCACGCGCTCGCTGGCGCCCCCAGGCGCTCCCAAGCGCTCCCAGGCGCTCCCAGGAGCTCTCAGGAGCTCCCAGGCGCTCCCCGGAGCTTTCGGCACGTTCCCAAGCGCTCCCAGGCGCTCCCAGGCGCATGGCGCTCCCAGGCGCCCCCAGGCGCTCCCGGAACGCTCCCAGGCGCTTCCAAGCGCTCCCTGGCGCTCCCAGCATGCTCTCAGGCGCTCCCAGGCGCTCCCAGGCGCTCCCAGGCACTCCCAAGCGCTCCCGGCACGCTCCCAGCACGCTCCCAAGCGCTCCCAGGCGTTCCCATGCGCTCCCAAGCGCTCCCAAGCGCCCACAGGTGCTCCCAAGCGCTCCCCGGCGCTCCCAGGTGCGTTTAAGCAGTCCAAGCGGTCCCATGGCGCTCCCAAGCGTTTCCATGCATTCGCAAGCACTCGGCTGGCGGCGCTTCGCGGCGCTCCCCCGCCATGCAGGCGCTGCCGCAGTCGTGCGCGCGCATCGTAGCGAGGGGGTGCCAGACCCACCCCCTCGCGCCCCCCCTCCAGCCATGCGAAATTCGCGCCGAAGGCGGCTGCGTCGACAATGCAATCGCTTCAGCGGGGGCGACGCCAACGGTCAAGCCCAACGAACAACCCACGGCTCGCACTCGCGGTGCGCACTGCGTGTCCTGCCACGCTCCCAGACGCTCCCACGTGCTTCCATCCTGGGGAAAGCTCGAGGCGCTCCCCCAGCGCTCCCAGAGAGCTCTCCCAAGGCATTCCAGGGGGTCTGCCGTGGAGGTGCTGCCGCAGCCATGCGCGCGCATCGTAGCGAGGGGGTGCCAGACCCACCCCCTCGCGCTCCCCCTCCCGCCATCCGAAGCTCGCGCCGACAGCATCTGCGTCGATGATTGCAATCGCTTCAGCGGGGCGACCTCGAAAGCGAAACCCAAAGCCGCGGGCGAATGCAACTGCCGCGCGCGTCGCCGTCGGCGAGAAGCCCGACGGCGCGGCCGCTCTTTCGAGGCCCACGGGGGCCCATGGGATTGCCGCGCCAGCGCCCTCGCAGTGCTGCTCCCCAGTGCCGAAGGCAAATGCCGGACCCCATGTGGAACTGCTGCGCCAGCGGCAGCCCAACGGCGAAGCCCCCTGCCGAAAGCGCAACAGCTGCCTCATCGACGAGGCGAGCTGACGCGCCAGCGCCATGCACCCTGCGCGCGTGCTCGCATGGGCGCGCATTTTGCCGCGGCCGCGGCCGCGCGCGCTTCCCAGCATTCGCAGCCCAGTGTCACAACCCAGTGCCGACAGCAAAAGCGACAACACTTGGACATGCTGCGCCAGCGGCAGCCCAACGGCGAAGCTCAACGCCGACATCGCCAACGGCTGCCTCTTCGACGTGGCAGCGAGCCGAAGCGCCTACGCCACGCGCCCTGCGCGCGTGCTCACGTGGATGCGCAGTGCCACGGCCGCGTCGGCGATCGTCTGCGCGCGCCGCTTCGACAGCCCCCCGTGATAAGGGGTTGGGGGGAGAAAACCTAAACCCTAAAAGGCTTCATTCGCAGCCCAGTGTCACGACCCAGCGCCGAAAGCAAAAGCGACAACACATGGGCATGCTGCGCCAGCGGCAGCCAACGGCGAAGCTCAACGCCGACATCGCCAACGGCTGCCTCTTCGACGGGGCAGCGAGCCGAAGCGCCTACGCCACGCGCCCTGCGCGCGCGCTCGCGTGGATGCGCAGTGCCGCGGCCGCGTCGGCGATCGTCTGCGCGCGCCACTTCGACAGCCCCCCGTGATAGGGGGGGTGGGGGGAGAAACCCTAAACCCTAAAAGGCCTCACTCTGGGTGGTCTGGGGCGGGAGTGCGACTAACCGCGGCGCGCGCGGCTTGGGCAGCGATCCCCCCCAACAACCTTGATGTGGGGGGATCGCAGCCTGCGCGCGCTTGCGCCAATGCAGGCCCTAAACCCTAAACCCTAAACCCTAAACTGATGCGCGACCCCTCGACGGGTCGCGCACCGATGTCGAACCTTTTCCGCTTTGAAAGCGAGTGATAGTCGAGCGCCCAGATCGTTATCGGGCCGGCGCACGCGCTGAGCTTCTGCCTCAGAGATAAACCCTGAACCCTGGTCTCCTTTGCCCGAGCGGCGCGGGAGCGCTCGGGAGCGCTTAGGAGCGCTTGAAAGCGCTCGCTGGGAACGTCTCGGAGCGCCTAGGAGCGCCTGGGAGCGCCTGGGAACGCTCGGGCGCGCCTGGGAACGCTTGGGAGCGGCTGGGAGCGGCTGGGAGCGCCTGGGAGCGTTCGGGAGCGCCTGGGAGCGCCTGAGCGCTTGGGGGCGCTTGGGAGCTCCTGGGAGCGCCTGGGATCGCCTGGGCCAAGCCAAGGCCACGTGTTGGAAGGGGTATTGCGGGCACCAGAGCAGTCCCCAGAGCACAATGAAATGCGAGGGGGCGCCCGACCCGCCCCCTCGCGCTCCCCCACCCGCCAAATCTTCGAGGGTGCCATGTGTGAGCTCCAGCAAAGATCTTCCTTGACCAATGGCAGACCCAGCCTGGCCCCAGATTATAGTGCTCGAGACCCGATGCCCGAAATTAGTCCCCCCATGCGAAGGGGGGCGAAGATGGGCGAAGGGGGGTCGATTGACAGATGGTTGACGCTCGAAGATGATCGCCGCCAGAAAGGACCTTCCCCCCATGAGAAGGGGGGAGAGAGGGGGGTAGAACAACCCTAACCCTAAAGGTGTACCTTTCGGTGGGGGGTGGGAACGGGAACGAATAGCAGCCGACCCCCCCAAACCCTAAGTCTCTAATTCTATAATTATTAAACCCTAAATCACTCCAAAGCGGCCGTTATGCAATCCCTCTCCATCTATTGCAAATTACTCCGACGGAAGGACCCCACATGAAAATCTCTTTAGCTTGCATGGGGGGATCCTCCTGCCCCTTCCCTTCTCCCACCTACTCTTGCCTCCTCGTTCTCCTCCTGTCTGCTCCTCCACCTGCCTCAACCCCGCCTCTTCCTCCTCTTCTTGTCTCCTCCACCTCCTCCCCCTCCCCCTCGTTATGCTTCCTCCCCCCCATTCCCCCTGCCTCTCCTGCCTCCTGCCTCCTCCTCCTGCTCTCCCTCTCCCTTCTCCTCCTCCTCCTCCTCCTCATCCCCTGTCCTCCTCCTCTCCCTCTCCCTCATCCGCTTCCTCCTCCTCCTCCTCCTCCTCCTCCTCCTCCTCCTCCTCGTTTCCATATTCCTCCCCCCTCCTCCCCCCCCTCCTCCTCCTCCTCCTCCTCCTCCTCCTCCTCCTCCTCCTCCTCCTGCCTCCTCCTTAGGCCTCCTGCCCCCTCCTGGGGCCTCCTGGGGCCTCTTGGGGCCTCCTGGAGCCTTCTGGGCCTTCCGGGACCTACTGGGGCCTCCTCGGGCATTCCTCCTCCTCCTTTTCCTCCTCGTCATTCCTCCCCTCAGCCTCTTCCTCTTCCTGCTTTCCTGTCTCGTCCTGCATCATCCCTCCTCCTTTTCCTTTCCTGGCAATCCTCCTCCTCCTCATCCTCGTGCGGAACACGACCCAGAGGAAGCGCACGACGTGCGTCCCAGCCGATACGCGCCGGAGGACGACCCAGAGGAAGCGCGCGCCGGAGGATGACCCGGAGGAACCACGTGAGCTGCGGGACCCATAGGAAGGCTCCCGCCTGACGCGTCCTCACAATTCACTCACAGACGAGGGTCCCGCTTGATACTTCTTCCAAATTCAGACCTGAGGAGCCCAAAAGTGACGACAGTTACAGGAATCCGATGACCCGCTCGGATTAATAACATGATCTGCGGGCCCCATAGGGGGGGGGCTCCCGCCTGAGACTTGCTAGCAATTCACTGACAAACGAGGCTCCCGCCTGATACTTCCTCCAAATTCAAACCTGAGGAGCCCAAAAGTGACGACAGCTTCAGGAATCCGATGACCCGCTCGGATTAATAACATGATCTGCGGGCCCCATAGGGGGGGGGCTCCCGCTCGAGACTTCCTCGCAATTCACTCACAGACGAGGTTCCCGCTTGATACTTCCTCCAAATTCACACCTGAGGAGCCCAAAAGTGACGACAGTTTCACGAATCCGATGACCCGCTCGGATTAATAACATGATCTGCGGGCCCCATAGGGAGGGGGCTCCCGCCTGAGACTTCCTGACAATTCACTCACAGACGAGGGTCCCACTTGATACTTCTTCCAAATTCAAACCTGAGGAGCCCAAAAGTGACGACAGTTACAGGAATCCGATGACCCGCTCGGATTAGTAACATGATCTGCGGGCCCCATAGGGAAGGGGCTCCCGCCTGAGACTTCCTCACAATTCACTCACAAACAAGGTTTCTGCTTGATACTTCCTCCAAATTCACACCTGAGGAGCCCAAACATGACGACAGTTACAGGAATCCGATGACCCGCTCGGATTAATAACATGATCTGCGGGCCCCATAGGGAGGGGGCTCCCGCCTGACGCGTCCTCACAATTCACTCACAGACGAGGGTCCCGCTTGATACTTCTTCCAAATTCAAACCTGAGGAGCCCAAAAGTGACAACAGTTTCAGGAAATCCGATGACCCGCTCGGATTAATAACATGATCTGCGGGCACCATAGGGAGGGGGTTCCCGCCTGAGACTTCCTCGCAATTCACTCACAGACGAGGCTCCCGCTTGATACTTCTTCCAAATTCAAACCTGAGGAGCCCAAAAATGACGACAGTTCCAGGAATCCGATGGCCCGCTCGGATTAATAACATGATCTGCGGGCCCCATAGGGAGGGGGCTCCCGCCTGAGACTTCCTCGCAATTCACTCACAGACGAGGCTCCCGCTTGATACTTCCTCCAAATTCAAACCTGAGGAGCCCAAAAGTGACGACAGCTTCAGGAATCCGATGACCCGCTGAGATTAATAACATGATCTGCGGGCCCCATAGGGAGGGGGCTCCCGCCTGAGACTTCCTCACACTTCACTCACAGACGAGGATCCCTCTTGGTGGATGATGGTGACGGGATGATGACGACGGTGTTTGATGATGGTATATGGTTGATGATGATGCTAATGATGATGGTGGTGGTGGTGATGATGACGACGTGATGATGATGATGGTGGTGGTGATGATGACTGCTGATGGTGAATGATCGTGCGACTATGATGGTAAATGGTGGTGATGATGATGGGGACGAAGTTGTGAGTCAGCGAATAGTGATGATGATGATGATGATGATCGTTCGATGCCGATGATGGTGAGTGATCGTGCGATGGTGATGGTGATGCTGATGGTGATGATGATGATGAGTGGGGAGTGATGGTGATGGTGATGATGATGCGGAGGAGGAAGCAAAGAGGAGCAGAGGAGAGGGAGGAGGACGAGAGATCCTGCGCGGAGGGTGTGCTGAGAAAACAAGAACTCCACTTAGGATGTGTGGAAAAATAGCATTTCCTGAGCATGCGCGCCGAATCTCTTTTATTTTACACTACAAAGTGCCCAGTCCCCGTTGCGATCCCCCTCCATATACTGCAAAAAAATTCATTTCCTGAGCATGCGCGCAGAATTTCATGCATATTACACTGCAAAGTGCCCAGCCCCCGCTGCGACCCATTATGTAAACCCGCTCCATCTACTGCAAAAAACAACATGTCCTGAGCATGCGTGCAAAAGTTCGTGTATTTTACACTACAAAGTGCCCCACATCCGTCGCGACCCCGCTCCATCTCCTGCAAAAAACAGCATTTCCTGAGCACGCGTGCAGAATCTCCTCCAAATACAACGTGCGACCCCGACCCATCTATTCCACAACGTAGCATTTCCTCCGCATGCGTCGTTTCTTCCGCCCGACCCGATTCTTCCCGCCCGTTCGAGCACTCGCGTGCCAACTGGATCGCACATCACTCGTCGCCGTCGTCGTCGTCGTCATCGACGTTGTAGTCGATGTGCTTATACCGATGGGAGAGATGATCTTTATGGTGGGGTGTCGTGCGGGTGGGAGTGACGGCCACCGCAGGTGGGTTCGCGGTCCAGGTGTACTCGTGGCCACGCCTAGTAGACCCTAAACCCTAAACCCTAAACCCTCGTCGCCGGTGTCTTCCTGGTGCCTCGAATCATCAGGGCCTGCATCCCTCGTCGAAATTGAACGCAAGTTTTAGCCGCGACCTGGCGGCGCACCCCGACCCCCAATTTCAATGTTCACGCCGACGCCTGCGACTTCGAGATTTCCTTCGGACCCCGCCGGCCGCGATGCGCCTGTCGATGAACATTGAAATTTGGGGGCGACGGGGGTGGAAAAAACTTGCGTTCAATTTCGACGCGGGTTGTGGTATCCTGTCCACCGCACGTGCGGAGGCTGGCACCATCGTCGAGATCGTGCCCTGGCCTCGGCGACGCCGCGAGCGCGCTGCTGCAACCGCCTGCCTGCTGCACAACAGTCGAGCGGAAGCACGAAGGAAGGCTAGATGAGGAACGACGCCCCTTTCTGGCACCAAAGAAGCCTTGGCCCACGAGGAGGGCTACAGTGAAGGCGTATAGTAAGGACGGGTGATAAGGACGCAAGACCCTCGGAGGCCGAAGTTGGATTTTTGGGGCGGGGGGCGGCCAGTGATAATGACAGGGACGAGCCTCAGAGGCAAGGGCGCAAGGGTATCCTAGATGAAGGCGCGCGTCCTTACTAGGCGCGTTGACTGTAGTGGAGCAACCACGGAATGACCTCAGGAACGGCGAGCCCCTTCCGAACCCAAAGCGGCTCTTATTTCAGCGTCTTGACTGTAGATGGGGGGCGGTCGTACATACAACTCGGTCTGTGGAGTCGCACGCGCGATGTTTACATAATTACGGGGGGCTCCGGAAACCATCAACCCCGCAAGTGGTATTTCTTGGAAGACCGATCTTCGCTTCCGCAGGCTGACGCCTGCCCTCCGCCGAGGTCGAAACTCAGGTCCTTGAAAGCAAAGCCCTCTGTGGAACGCGCAGCACTGGATTTGACAAGCAACTAAAAAATCACAGTGGCTCTCACCATGCAGTTCCATCGGGCCCTCTGCTTTCTCGCGGGTGTTCGCCAGGGTGAGCAGTATCAGACCTTGCGCTGATTCACGATGCTCGGCTGGGACGGGCGGCCGTCTTGCAGAGCTGATGGCGCGTTTAGGCTTTAGTCCGCTCATGCGTTTCCTTATACTCTCCTGCGTCCTCCATCTTCCGCCCTCCTTCTTTCCCTCCTTGTCCCCCTTCTTGTCCTCTTCCTCCTCCTCCTCCTCCTCCTTCTCGTCCTCCTTTTCCCTGCTCCCGTTCCTTTTCATTCTCCCTGCCCCTCTGCCTCCCCCTCCTCTTCCTGTCCGTCCTCGTCCTCACCCCCCCTCCCCCTCCGGTTCCCGTCGTGCCGCCTGAGCGCCCTCTGGAGGACACACGAAGGTGAAGCGGCTCCTCGGCGGGCGGCGGGAATGCCCCGCGCCCGCACGGGTTGTGGAGGTGGTCGGGAGGGGGAGCCCCCCGCCCCAGCGGAGAAAGAGGCACAAAAAGAGAGGGAGAGAGAAAGAGAGAGAGAGAGAGCACAAGAGAGCAAGAGAGAAAGAGAGTGTGTGTGTGTGTGTTTGAAAAAAGCGAGAGAGATAAACAAAAGAGAGAGAGAGAGAGAGAGAGAAACAATACAATAAAGAGAGAAAGAGAGAGAGAGAGAGGGAGAGAGACAAACACACACACAGAGGGACAGAGTAGACAGAGAGAGAGAGAGAAGGAGGGATACATATTTATATATATATATACATATATATATATATATAGAGAGAGAGAGAGAGAGAGAAAGAGAGAGAGAGAGAGAGAAAGAGACAGCGCAACAGTTCGGACGGCAGTTCGTCCAGGCCTCGCGATGCGCAGCTGCCGCCCAGGCCCACCTCGCGCCGGGAGGTGCCGCAAACCGCACAAATGGGTGGGGAACTCCAATGAGACGGCCCCGCCCCCCCCCCGGCGCGGACTAAAGGGCCCCCGACTGACAACGAAAGCGGGTATATATATATATGATATATATATATATATAATATAATATATATATATATTGATCTGGGGAAATCAAACGAGACGGCCCCGCCCCCCCGCGGCGCGCGGACTATAAGGGGCCCCCGACGGACAGTGAAAGCGGGCCTGTGGTGCTCCGGGGGCGACAGCTCCCAGCGCGCTGCGGCCTGCGCGCGTCGGCGCCTGCCCCCGCCGCCCGGGGGCATCCCCCGCAGCGGCCCAGTGCAGAGACCTCGGAGCAGGTGCCAGCCGCTCTACGGCCTGCGCACCCGAGCGAGGGGGGGCGAGGCCAGCACTGGCGCGCTGGAGCGGTGGGCTTCCAGGTGCGCCCGGAGGCCTGTCTGCGGAGTGGCCCCGAAGGAAGCGGTCGGACGAAACCTCCTCCTGCTCCTGCTCCTGCTCCTCCTCCTCCTCCTCCTCCTCCTCCTCCTCCTCCACCACCTCCACCTCCACCTCCTCCTCCTCCTCCACCACCTCCACCTCCACCTCCTCCACCTCCTCCTCCTCCTCCTTCTCCTCCTCCTCCTCGCCTGCGGAGTGGCCCCGAAGGAAGCGGTCGGACGAAAGAAAGGCCTGTCGCGGGTCGCCCCAGGCGGACTGAGCTCGCTGGAATCTGTCCAGCAGAGGGCTGAGCTGTTCCTGGCTGGAAGGAAAGGTTCGCGCAGGGTTTGTGGCACGCTGTTGCAGCACCGTGACGTTAGCAATAGCATCGCTTCACGTTCTGGATATATCTGGCCGTTGCCTTGTAGCCATGAGGTGCTGCGCGAGGGCGTGCCTGCGATCCGTTCGCTGCATTGGTGTTCCGCCACTTCATACTTCCTTTTGGGTGGTCGGACGGTCGCCAGTCCCCATGCCCTGGTGGGAGGGGGAAACGAACTGGTGGCTCTGCGCGGTGGCCACGGAGGCGGGGTACTGGTGGACGTCCACCCCTTGAGACACTGCTCCCGGATGCACATGCTGACGCCGTTATGTGCTTTTTCGCCGTCGGCGTCGCGACCGTCGCCATCGTGATGTTTCGATGGAGCAGCAAGGGTGCCGTCATCGTCGTCCAAGGCCGCGCCTGGCCCCAAGTGGTCCTCGTCTTCTTCCTCGAAGTCGTCGGCTGGGCCTCCCCGTGGGTCGTCGAGATCGTCGAAGAAGTCTGGCCCCGGTGGGCCCTGCAGGCGCGAGGGGTCGCCATGGGCGCTCGGCGGCTCGCCACTTCCTTGCCCCGTGGTGAGCGGGTTCGGCTTCGCCTTGCTGAGTTCAGCCCTGGAGTAGCCCGCGCGTCTGTCTGGCAAAGGCAGCGCGCGGTGGCGAAGGTCATAGATCGTGACGACGGTGCTGTGGAGAACCGCCGCGGGTTCGTGTCGCTACTTGGCTCCGTCGATGATATCGTGCTGCAGGGTGCGCAGACGTTCTGCGGCAGTGGCGACATCGTCTGCGCGGCGGTGAAATTCATCGGCGATCCGCGCGACTCGATCTTAAATTGCTGCCTTGCTCGCCGAGATGGCTTTCGACTTTCTGGACCTTGAGAGCCCAGGTTTGCACTGCAGCACGCGATGGATTGTGTTGCCAGAGATCGGCCTGAGCTCCAGTGACTTGCGGTGGCTTTCCCTGCGAGGAGGGCCTCGAATCCGTCGGCGACGGCTTCGCTGTCAACGGAGACGCGGACAGGCCCGCTCAGCACAATGGCAATCCGTTGCTCCAGCTGGTGGCACTGTTTGGCCAGTGTGGCTTGGCTGGTGGCTTGGCTGGTGACTGCGTTGGTCGCAATGGTTTCGAGTCGCTGCGCTGTGTCAACCAGCCTCAGTTGATCCTCCTCCAGGCGGCGGAAGCGGACGTCCACCTGGTCCGAGATGCCCTGTGCACTTGACTTGGATAGCCACTCTTCTCGTCGTAGCCTGGCGGTGCTTGAATCCCCTTGGGGGACCGAGGCGGAGCATCTGTGCCCTCGCGCTTTGCGGCCCCCTCCGCCACGGCGCAGTCCTCGTCGTCGCGAAGGCCTGCTTGGGCCGCTGCGCCGCGGGGCTTTGATTCGCCCGATGGTGGCGCGACAGCACGCCGGGCTGCGCTGGGCGAGCACTGGGCAGTCTTCTTGGCGCTGGTATCGCGTTGCTTCTTCTCCGAAAGCGACGTGCCTCGTGGCGGCGCGCCTCTTTGCTGGTCCGACAACGGTGTCAGCAACGCTTGCAGGCGCGGCCCGGTGGCCGCCCTGTCCTGGAGAGTCGGCGCGGCGCTTGTGCCCGGGCGACCTGGTGGGGATCCGAGCGCGGGACGATCTTCTCCTTCGGCGTCTTCGGCCCGTCTATGCGGTGCTCTCCACCCGAGCGATCGTCCATGGGATGATGGACCCTTGAATGTGAAAGTTGGTATCGGGCGGGTGCGTGGCCGCTTCGACGATGGCAGCGCCCCCCCCCCCCGGCGGCTTTGTCACATCCCGCGTGCTGGACTTCACAATGCCATTGGATGGATGCGAACACTTGGGTGCTTTCGTGACCCTCTGGGGCTCGATACCTGTGACGCGGTATCTTGTATTCGTTAGCGCCGCATCGGTTCATCTGAGCTCGAGGGCGACTTGCTTGGCTTCGTTCGCGTCGGGCCTCGTGCGGACGCCTACTCGCTCGTCGGTGCGAACGGTTCCGAAGGTATTGGACCTTTGGGAGCTCTTTCTTGGAGTGTGATCTGTTGGCCGTCTTGGTACCGCACCGCGATGCACTTAGACGCAAGGCCTTTGGCGCCGCGGTAGCATATGTCAAACTGAACGCCCCCCCTGGCCCGAGGCGGCCAAGACGATTGTGGCGCCGGTCGGGTCGGCTGGATGCCAGAAGTGAAGGTGAACCCGCGCCTGCCCGCTGCCATGCCGCGGCGCCCCAGTAGCTTCATGGGCCCCTGCATTCGCGCGGCGCGGAAGCGGGAGGCCACGGTGGCAGCGAACGCGTCGATGAGGTCGTCGTCGAGCTGTCAGCGTGCATCGTCATGCTTCGCCCTCGCACGGCGCCCTGTGGCCCTCTGCTGCGCCCTGCCTGCACCTCCCGGCTGGGCTGGCGCGCGCCGGTGATAGGAGCCGACCCCGGGGAACTGGGAGGCGAATGACTCTAACTGTGCTGGCGCGACGGCAACGGCACCGGCTTCGCAGGTAGCTCCACGACTCCCAACCAAGTGGTCTGCTGGGCCAAAAGGGTCCCTTGGACGACGTTCTGCAAGCGCTCGACTTCTGGGCGGCCTGGTTGGCAGGTGGCTCCCGGTATTCTTCCTGACGTGGGCTTGCTAGCCTGAGCCGTGCTACGTTAGGACAAGGATTCGGATTTTTCCCTGGGTGATCTATGCGAATTGGTCCCAAGACGGCTAGCGCGAGGGGCTTATCCTGCTGGCGGATTCGCTGCAGGATTCGGCTGCCCTCTTCTGGCGCGTGAAGGGAGCTGCTGGTGAACGATGTGTCCTCCTCGGCCTTCTGGGGGGGCAACAGCGATGGAGACAGCCCAATTTTGTGCATTCGGGCTGGTGGAGGAGGAGGAAAAGGAGGAGGAGGAGGAGGAGAAGGAGGAGGATGGGGAGGGAGAGGAGGAGGAGGAGGAGGAGG